TAAATGCTGAGAAAGAAGGAAAAGGGACTTTAATATTTATTTGTCTGCTAACCAGAATGTCAGCAGTCCAAAATCACCAACCACACCTCAGAGAAAGAGAAAGGTTTCTCCTTCAATGAGGAGGTACCGGTTCAGAAGCCCACAGGAAGGATCCCATAGGGTGGCTGTGAGTTGGAATGGGCTCCATGGCACTGAGTTTTTGGGGGTTGAAGATAGTTTCATAGTGTGCAATTAGGACTAGTTACATAAAGTAGCGTTTCTCAAACTTAGCTCATCTTGACACTTACCAGGGATGCTGCTTTAAATGCAAACTCCCAGGACTCATTCTTAGAGCTCCTGAGCTCAGCGGTCGGCTCAGCAATGTACATCATTAGAAACACCTGGACGAATGCTACGATCAGGCAAATTCAGGAAATAGTTATAATGGAAAGAACACTGACCTGAGCTTAGGGTTCAAAACAGCAGCGCCCCAGTTCTTTTCTGTGTCCCTGACTCAGTCATTTTATCTTCACTGAGTCTTCAGTTGCCTCAGTTGTAAAAACACAAAACAGCAAAGAGAAACAGAAACAGTTCCCTGGACCAAGATCCGAAGCAGAGTCCAGCACAGAATGAGGAAATGGAATGTGTGGCTAACTGCCTGCTGTATGACGGGCTCCTTTACCAGGAGACAAAGAAGAACTGGGTGGTGCCTGGCTGCCATCACTGAACATTTTCACCTCAGACTTTATAGAGGAATCCCAATAAAAAAGGATAAAAATACAGAACAAAATTCAAATATTTTGGAATCTAAATTTTAAGGAGCCATGGCAACCAGATAAACCCATATAACTATAGCCCAAGTATAATCTTTAAAATTTAAGCCCAAAATATTCCCTGAAGACTCCTTAAAACTGGGAAATAATTTAGTACTAGCAAAGGAGGTTGACCTTGAGCATTATGCTATTTTAAGAACTTTCCATATGGGCTCAAATTGACAACAGCAATGGAAGAGATTAGACAAGATCCATAGCGAGTTTATATTAATGCTGCAGGTTACAACTCAGAAAAGGAAGAGGAGAATGATTGCCAAACGTGAAGAGCATAATCAATGCCACTGATGTACGTGCAGAAATTGGTAAACTGGTCTATGTTTTGCTGTGTACATTCTCAACCACAAAAACAAATGATCAAAGTTTTAAATATGAGATCCCATTAACAACAGCAACTTGAAAGAGTAGATAGACGTTTCAGGCGCGGCGAGTGTATGTTAGTGGGGAGGAATAGCTCAGGAAAGGCGTTTGGGAACAACGATCACCTGAAGGACGGAATCAATGCCACTGAACTGCACTGCCGGGGGAATCGGGTTCTGGTCAGCTGTGTATTTTCTCAACAACGACTACCCAAAAAATCTAATAAGAAACCCACAAAACCTTTGGTTTTAGTTCCTAAATTCCATCAAAGACAAGCATCAGCTAGGTCTTTCTCACTGCTGTCCTGTCTGTCAGTTTGCACACACAATCTTATAAGGCCAGAAGGTATGCCAATGATATTTAAAATACTAGCAGTTACTCCTGGTAGACAGGTTTCAGAGGTGCTTTCAGATTAACACAGACTAGAAAGAGCTGTCAGTTGACTTCTGAAAATTACCCAGTGAAAACCTCATGGACCCTATGGTGCCCTTATCATGTTGGAAGATGTGCCCCTAGGTTGGAAGGGACGGAATAAGCACTTTGGGTGGTGGCAGTGGGTTCAAACACACCATTGATAAGGAAAATGGTGCAGAACTGGGCACGGTTTCCTTGGCTTCGATATGGGGTCGTCACTCATTCGAGTTGTCTCCATAGCATCTAGCAACAGCACATCATCCTCCACACCTCACCTGGAGGCTGGCTCAGCACAGCAGCCTCTCCGCGAATGTTTATTACTCATTTTTGAGAGAACCTGAAAGGTTTTGTAGATGCAAAATTCTCACTGCCATCGAGACAATGTTGGCTCATAGTGACCCCTGGTGGGTTTCTGAGACTGTAAATTTTTATAGGAGTAGAAAGTCAATCTTCTCCCTCAGAGCTCCCGTTGGTTTCGAACTGCTGACCATGCAGATCACAATCCAACGTGTAACCATTACATCACCGGGGTTTCTGCAGACTCAGAATTGTATGACTAAAATAAACACATAAAAAAGAAAATAATTCGTGTATAAAGTCACTGTTATTCCAAAAACAAAACAAAATATAAGCCACAAACAAAAAACACCACTTCTTGTTTCTGTGCTGTCTATTCCTGGCAAATATTTCAAAGGATCTGACGTGGTCATTTCAGTTCACACCTTCCTCCCAGGTCTATGACAATTAAAGGGAATAAATTGGAAGCATTTAGCACAATGTGGAAGGAGCCTGGGTGGCACAGTGGGGTCACGTTGGGACATTCTACTCCTTTAAAGAGTTACAGTCTCCGGCACTCACAGAGCTACTTTACCCTGTCCTAAAGAGTCACTCTCAGTAGGCATCAACTCCATGGCAGGGAGGTGTTTTTTGGTTTTGTTTTTTGAGTACAACGTTTCAGCAGATGCTCAGTAAACGTGTGCTGAATCTGGCAACCCAGTCAATTCTGTAGATCAAATAAAACCCAAAAGTACTGCCATCGAGCCCATTCTGACTCCTGGAGACCCTAGAGGGCAGGGTCTTTGTGGATTTCTGAGACTGACTCTTGATGGAAGTGGGAGGCCTCATTTTTCCCCCCTGAGGCGCAGTTCCTGACCTTAAGATTAGCAGCCATCGCTCACCCCCTGGGTGCTCTCGGGCGCCTTCTAGATAAGAAAGAACCCTGAAGCCCGTGAAAGATTCTGCTACACCGACAGGATTAATAATAGCGTTACTTTCAAGACTTTATTCTTGAAATTTACAACCAAGTAGCAGGTCCCGAATTCTCAGGAGCCTTTCCGGCACAAGTGTTCGTGAAACACTGTGATTTGGTCTTTGTGCCACAAGGAAGCCAAGTGACAAGACGGCTGGGCGGGGAGGGGAGGGGAGGGGGGGCGTTAATTTCATATGCTATTCGGGGAGGCAGGGGGGATCTAGTCTGACAAAGGATTGTCTCCCGAATGGACAAAAGATGGGATATTATATACTTTCAGAAAGAGAGGATGGAACTGTCATGCTCATGTAGCTAAATGACAGGTATGGTTAATGAACATCCTGTCTTTTCTCCTGGGCTGCTTTTGGCTCTGGTGGCCAGTAGTGGCCATATTTTGGAGGTGGCAGTACCAGGGGACAAGTTATCTTGCTTTTCCCCCCTGGAACGCAAAAGAAGTTTCAGCCTAGTTCTTCTTCAGTAAACACTCTTGTTCTTCTGGCTTAAAATGACAAACGAATCATTTGTTTTGTTGTTGTTTATTTATTTATCTTACTACTAAAGAAACTATAACAAATTATACTTAAAAATCTGTCTTTTAAGAATCTTCATTCTTAGCCCATTATTTTATTATGACTCTAATGAATTCTCTTTTATTGAAATCATTTTAAGAAAAGGTACTTGAATCTCTAACTTTCAGAAGAAAACCATGAAGGCAAGTTAATTCACCACGGACCCAACCAAAGCCGCAGTTAGATTGCAAAGGGAAGCAAACGGCGGCGCCCCACACTCCGTGAGGGCCTGACGTGGTATCACAAGTTGCACAGAAATCAGTGCCTTTGAATCTGATTGTGGAGAAAAACAGACAATGGAGATTATGTGGCATTTCTACTTTATTTGAAAGCAAAACACTCTTACTACTTATTAAAAAATATCAAACTCACACACTTCCTTATAGACTTAATACAGCCTACATGCATTCAAGTGGTTCTCCACGCGTCTTTTCCAGACCAGTAGTGGCAGCTTTGCCTGCACACTTGTTACAAGTGCAAATAAAGCAGAAACTCTGAGAGTGAGCCCCCAAAACCTGTTGAACAAATCCTCTCATGTACACTAAAACATGAGAACTACTGACTTCAAGTAAACAAAATTCTGTTACAGAAACATTCAAAGGAGGGCAGGAGGCCAGCTTTTCGTAAAACTTCCTACAATGTGTCAGAATTGAAATGCCTACATCATGCGTCTAGTCAGCTGCTTATGAATACCCTCACACAAACGTACAACAAACACACCTTTGTCTAACAAGTTTCTCCCTTTAAAAAAAATTCTGAAATACTGATCCTGAAATTTAAAAATAGGCAGGCCTCTGGCTTTGAGGACATTCAAGTTTTAATTTATCAACCTCGTATCTAAACCACAAGTTTCAAATCATCAAAATATTGCTCACTACTACCCAAGCTGGTTTTAATGTTATTAAAACATTAACAATGAAAGTGAGGCTAAGACAATACAATACACATCCAGAAGGGTTGTTTTTGTTGTTGTGTTTTTTGATCCAAATGGCAATTCAGATTTAAGATAGTGATGTTTTAGATACAACCAGTAGCTGAATATTATAAATGCTATGATTCTATGTTCTATGTAAGAGAAATCAGGGCTTTGAACTGGTTCGTTCTTGTTGGAATCCCTGCAGAGGATTTGAATATCGGTCTCAGATGTACTGAATCAAAAACAATAACCAAGCACAATGCCAGGGAGTCAATTCCAACTCATAGCTGTCTTTGACGATAGAGTTAAACTATCCCAAATCGATTTCTAAGCTGGAAATCTTTCTCTCTAGATGCAACTGAGGGTAAGGGACGATTTTGAACCATGACTGAGCACTCTCCCACCAGGGTACAGACTGAACCAGAATCTACATTTTAACAAGATTCCCACGTGAGTTTTATAGGTCCCCAGGTAATTTTTCTGTGTACAAAAGGATCTTGTTAGTATGTAGATTCTGGGAAGGAGATGAGAAGTTCTCAGCAGGAGGTCAAATCAGAAGGAACCATAAACCAGTTCAAAGCCCAGACGGAAATTACAGACTGCTACAAAAGCCTGCAAATGTCAAAACTTTATTTTCTCAGCAGAAAAGATGTGGGAGATTTTTTCCCCCCTATTGAGGGTAGAGTAGGACCTGCGGGTGGAGGGGTCGATGAGAAATCCTGAAATGCATCCACTGTCATACTCCGTAGTCACAAGGAGGAGACACAGTAAGAAAGTTGTAGAAGGACTGCCGTTCCATGATATGCTACTGCTTCAAAAACAGAGTCAGGTAGTGGCTTTTCGATACTTTCCCCAAGCCCTAAAATTCACTCAAGACAATAAGGTCAACGTATATGTCCAAAAAGAAGAAGGAAATTCGCCCGTGTGTACCAGCTTCTAGTCGGGAACATCAAATGGCAGCGTGCTGATAACGTCCCCAGCTTCCGTGACAATGGCATCGTACACCCACCGGCGGTTACAGCGGCACTCAGGCCCACATTTGTTGGAGTTACACTTGGGGCAGGGGTAGAAGCAGCCCAGGCAATTCTTCTCTAGGCAGTCACACAAGTCCACATCGTTACAGATTAGCCTGCCGCTTTTATCATACTTCCTCAGAACCCTGCAAAGCAAAATAAGGACAGTAACATGACAGTGCAGTTTTCCTTGACTAAGAAATTAGTGTGAAGCAAATGTCATAAACATGATCTTCCTTCTCTGAGGGATGGCACCCTAGAGATTGCCCTGCAACACTCTGGAATCATATGTGACATTGATGTCGTGGGAAGTTAGACAATCAAGCCATTTCGAACACAGCCAGGCTTGTCATGGGCAGTAACGCACCATCCTCCCAGCCCTGCTGGGGAACGTCATGTTCTGCCTAGGTTAAGAATAATGAGGAATGGCTGATTAAAGTTTCCTCCTACAAATGCCCCAGATTTCCCTTTAAAATTTAAACATTCTTGATGGATTCTTTCCCTAATAAGTTGCTCTCTTTTCCCCCCTCTTTTCTCAAAAGTGCTATCCTGTATACAATTATATTATTTAATGATTCAAGATAAGCCTTGGAGCCGTGAACTCCTAAGTACTTGCTTTTAATCTCCCTTGCTAACAGTCTTCGGGCGTCTTGCCTTCCATTACTTTCAGGTTGTGGATTTTGCCCAATGTGGTGTGAGAAACCAAATGACCGTCACACATCAAAAGCAGAGGAGCCCACAGGGTCGACAGCAGCTCTGAGGACAGAAGGCTTTCACAAGAAACCTGTCCGCTCTCAAGCTCAACCCATTTAAAAGAAATCCTTCAAAACTGAGCCACTTGTACCACGTTTCTATTGGAGGGGTTGATGCAACATTCTTGCAAATGATGGCGATGGTTACACAAGGTGGTGAACCTAATTAGTGTCACAGAATTGTACCTGTGAAAATGGCAAATGTCCTGTTATATGTATTTCCCACGATAATCATTAACAACATAAAACTGTGCTGTCTGAAAAGCTCAGAATGACAAAAACACCTCTGACCACTTTTATCCATTATTATCAGTTGAAAGAAAAGATGCCTATGCTAGTATGGCGAAATTATTCTTTGTCTCCAACCAGAGATAACACCTCCTCTCTTTCTACTTCAGTTACATAATGCCTTTTAATGTTCTCTGCTTTTCTAATTAAAAGGGAAGGGTTAAGGATCAAGATCTGATTATCACACTTCCTGTCGGATGATCACAAGTTAGCTAGAGTGCTTTTGAACGTGTTGATCAGGGAATATTCACATTTAAAGTGCCACTCCACCCTCTACCCCACCAGGAAATTCAAGGGTCATTGAGAGAGGAAATTTAAAATCTATTACGGGAATGACAAGTCTCTGGGTGGTGTAAACACTGGGCTACTAAACAAAAGGTCAGAGATTCAAACCCACCCAGAGGCACATCAGATGAACGACCCGCAATCGCTTCCTGAAAACACTCGAAGAGCCCAGTGCTACCCTGACACACGTGGGGCCGCCATGAATACAAATCCAGTTGATGGCAACTGCCTCTTGGTTATGGGAATGGTAAGAGTGGGTGGTCCTGAAAGTAATTCAGAGCAAGGTCAGGTGCTCCCCCTATGCCTTCACCAAACACTCGTGTGCCTTAGCCAGGACACTGAGGCACAGAGGGTATGGCACCCGAGACACCCAAGAAGGAGCCCTGGGGCAGGGACTAATTGCTGCTAAATGACAGGTTGACGGTCAAACCCACACTTGCTCTGTAGAAGAAAGAGCGGTAACGATTACAAGTCCTGGGAATCCTGCGGGTACCGTTCTACTCGGGCCTACAGGGTTACTGTGAGTTGGAACAGGCTTGATGGCAATGGGTTTGGTTGGTTTTGGATACCCATGTCGTGTCATATGACAGAAAACTGTGAACTACCATACGTAGTATACAAAAGTATACAAAACATACATGCACAAAAAAGACTAAAACAAACTCTGTGGGCCTACAGTACGACTTAGGAAAAAAAGGAAGATTGCCTTGAAGTTCTCGCCTCAGCCCTCCCCACTGCTTCCCCACGTGCAAGGCGCAACTTGATTTTATACAGAGTTCTTGTTTATCTTCTATCTATGCCACATCCATATGTATCCCTACACGTAATGCGTTTTCTCTTCTGTAATGTGCTTTTTCATTTTGAGATTTGATTTGAGATCCTTCCATGATGAGGCAAGGAACTATATTCACGTAATTTCACTTTTGTGTACATTTCCCTTTATCTCGTTATTGAGGGGCACTCGAGTGCCCTACTATAATTCTCTCGCTGCCGCCGAGTCAATTCTGACTCACAGAGACCCTCTAGAACAGAGTAGAATTGTCCCCTGGAGTTCCCAAGACTGTAATTCTTTATGGGAGCTAGAAAGCCTCATTGTTCTACCACAGATTGGCTAGTGGTTTTGAACTGCTGACCTTTCAGTTAGTAACCCATTGCATAATCCACTATGCCACCAGGATTCCCTATTACAATCAGTGTGATGCTGTAAATCTTCTTGAACCTAGTTCCTTTTGTACATATATTTAAGGTACGTTCCAAGCTATGTCAAATAGTTAAATTGTTTGATCATACACTACATACGAAGACACTGGGTCTGGGAGCTTAGGATCACAGTCTTGAGGGACAGCTCACTCAATTGGCCTTACATCGTTCACAAAGACACTGTTTTAAATACTACTTTGTTATGTGGTGACTAGGATCTGCAATGTTCGTGAGCAACCTCTAACGTACAACTACAGTATTGGTTTCTCTCTGTCCAGCAGAATGAAGAATGATGAAAATTGAAACACAGATGAGAACGAGAAATCCAATGGACTAATGGACCATGAAAACATCAGTCTCCATAACCCCGAGACCAGACAAACTAGATGTGGCCTGGTTAACACTACCAACCACTCAGAAAAGGATCACATTAGAAGGTGCTCAATGGAGTGGGTGAAAAATGTAGAGTAAAAGTGAAACTCATTCAACAGATCAGATGTACTGGTAGGACACAGAGTGGTGGGACTCCCAAGACTATAGCCCTTAGTCACCCTTCAGATGTGCAACTGACCTCACGTACATGTTAGAATAATCAGCCATTTGAGATGAAAGGGGCAGCATTTACCCAAGGACCAAACTCAGCGGGCTGGGAAAGAGAGGAAGAGAGGACTCAGGAAACATAGGGGGAAGGAGGCTAAGCAATGGTACATTGAGAGGACGGCAATGGATGACCCGAAACTAAATGTGTTTGAATTGTCTAATACAAAAGTGATTATCTATTCTGCACGCTGCCATCCAACTCACAATAAAAAGTTAAAAATATGAGAATATGGGTATTTATTAGGGTAAATAAAAAGCCTTGCTGTAAAATATAGAAAACTTTATTTAAAAAAAAAATCACAATGTGAAGCTAGTTTTTCTCGACATGTCTCCATCTGGATCAGCACACTTCTGAGGGTAGCCTTTCCGTCTCTCATCCTTACTCAGAAAATTCTGTGCTCTTGGACTCACCTCGTGTCAAAATAGGCACTCTGGCATCTTGGAAAGGACCAAATGGTGTTCCCTTTAAAAGCTCTTTGAGTTTGGGGGACAAACAAAGGAGGCAGAAGAAGCCAGGGCAGGGCTGTAGGATGAATGGGGAAAGGTTTCCCAGCTGCATTCTCTGAGGATAGCCCTCACGACCCTCACAAAACAAGTCGGTGCATTGTCGCGACGGGGAAAAGCTTCATGGGGCAACTGTGCTGACCACTTTCTCCAGGTGCAGTTCTCACCCTCCCCCCCCCCCAAAAAAAAACACATCATAAGAAGCCCCTGTGCCTATTCTGTGTCCTTCTAGAAAATCTATCCAGAGAACCTTTAGGGATCCCGCCAAAATAATCACCATAGTCATCTGAGCTGGCCTTTAGCCTTGAATCGAACCGGTCCAGCAAATCCCAGGAGGATTCACAGTTTTAACTGGAATTTTTTTTTTTAAAAAAGATACTCTCATGAGATGAAGGGTACCAAAGGATTTCAAAAAGTTTGTGGGTCCCCTCCTATTACTGAGAAAGCTTGTCTGAGGCAGAGACATACTTAAACACATTTTGCTTTGGAATAAACCCATGCATGTATGAACTAAAACCTAAGTTGTAATCCTTTTTTCTTACTTTCAATATAAGTTGAAGGAAACTGCTTTAAATAGTGGCTGTGCCATTTTACATTCAGTTCAAGACCTATGGCCTCACCAACACTGCTCTCACCAGACTATACCTTTTGCCTAGATGAGTGTGTGGCATCTCCCCACACTGTCCTGATGGCGCCCAGTATCCATCATTTATTATTCGCATTTTCTATGACATGCCTGATCCTCGTTTTGTTCCTTTTTCTACTGGGATGTTTATCTTTTCTTTTGAGCTTGCAGGATTTTAAAAGATATACTTTGGATGCCAAATTTTAGGCTATTAAATATCTTCTCCCACACTGGGATTTTTTGGTAAACAGCCTTTTTAATGGTCATACATTTTTAATTCTTATTTTAATGTAGTTGAACTTAGCAACCTTTTGCTTTGCGGTTTGCACAGTAATGCATCTCTGATGTTTTAATAGCGATTCTATTTAATGCTAGGTCTGCGCCATCGAAATCCTCAATCAAATTTCACACTTCCATCATATCTCTTTCTAAAGATACACCCTTACTCCTTTTGATCATCTTTCCTATTAAAGCTGTTACCCTAGTCGAAGGGCCTCTGAAACTTAGAAGAAGAAAAAGAGATTCCTAGTTCAGGGCGCAGGAGCCCTGATGGCACAGTGGGTTAAGTGCAGGGCTGCTTACAGCAAGGTCAGTGGTTCAATCCAACCACTGCTCTGCAGGTGAAAGATGAGGCTGTCTATTCCCCTTAAAGATTTAGAAACTCAGAAACCCTAAGGAAGAGTTCTACTTTGTCTTACAGGGTCACTGTGAGTCAGAATTGACTGGATAGTAGTCTGCTTAGGTATATAGTCTATTTCATCTAGAGACATGGGGTACAATGGTAATTTTAAAGGATATGTTTAAATCATGAGAAAGGTAGCCTGTGACTACTTGGCTTTGTCAAGGAGAACCTGTGAAGTTTATGATCTCACAAATCATAAGTAAGAAAGCATGACCTTACTTGTACTTCACAGAAAAATACTCATTCATCTTCGACATGCGCGCTTTCTTTTTCTGCTGCCTTGTTTCAGGGTTGAAGTCCGCTACCTGGGGCCCAGGGTTCTGAAATGCCAAGCATTTTAACTGCCGCTCTATCTGTTGCTGTGAAGGAAATAAAATGCATCAATGAAAACAAACATCTTACTCAACAAAACTACCCAAGCATGAAGCTATTGTTCCTCTCCATACCCTGCATCTACGTCTATCCACTTCCGAGGGTGGCATTTCGATCTCTCTGGTTCTGTCTGAACCATATTGTCTCATCTGTTTGAACAACTGACTCAGAATGATCTTTTCTAGGTAGCATCATAATGCTATGGCAGTTTCGATGTTTTATGTTGAGAAATAAAAATCAAATCATGCTTCAAATGAGCACACAGATTTTCTCAAAATTCGGTTATGCTTTCTGAATGAAGAAATACGCAGCACACAACTCATGCATTCTAAATGCGAAAAGGGAGTGGGAACAAAAGGAACCTTTTATGCATACAGAACATTAGCCAACTTCTCACATCTCAGGATGGAGACCCGTGTCCAGTGAGCACTGATGGTACACCAGGTGAGGGTGGACAGGCCCCTCAGCACTCGGCTGAAGCAGCCCCGGAGGCGGCCCAGGAGCCTCTGCACACTGGCCCTTCCCTTCCGCTGCCTGGAACTGACCACGCCACAGGAGGGTCCACTTCACCCAAAGCCAGATTTGGAAAAGATCTTGCTAAAATGACTTGTAGATAATTTAGGAGACATTTGTAAATGTCTCCGTTTGGGGACCTTCATCCTAATTAAATGAAAAAGTGCCTGCTGAAGAAAGAAGCAGCAAAGAGGTCTCAATCAACTGCCGACAGCAGGCTTCGGAAGGCAGTACGTCCAAACTCAGAAACCCACTGCCTTCGAGATCATTCGATTCATGGAGACCCTGGAAGGCAGGGCGGAACTGCCCCTGTGAGTGTCCAAGACTGAAACTCGTTACCGTAGTAGAAAGCCCCGTTCCTCCCAACCCCTCCCCGCCCACTACCCCAGAGCAACAGGCAGTTTCGAACTGCTGACCCTGGTTAGCAGCCCAACGCAGGACCACCATGCCAGCAGGGTTCCTAGTACATGCAAAGAGGCCTCCAAAAGTCCATGGAAAGACAGAATGAAAAGACAATGAAAGGGTTTGTTGTGTGTTTTTTTTTAATGTTGTTGAGGCAGAGCAATGGTCTTTCGAAGGATTTCAGAATAGTCTAAGTGGCTCGATATTGCTTAAGGTAACATACAAAAATAAAACACCTTGAAAGAAAGAAGAAATATCTAGTGTCCGGGATTTGTTTCAATGTAACAAATTCTTCTCCATGAGTTTCTGTAGTTTAGTAGTAATAGCATCAGTCTAAGCTAATGTGATTTTATTGTACCAACTGTGTCATTGGTAAAACAGTCTGCATCCAGGTATAACTATGAAATAAGTACATAGGTGCTAACACCTATGGCTATGTTTACGGAGCCCTGGCAGCAGTTTGTAGCAGTGTTCGCGTTCAAAGCCAGTAGCTACTTTACAGGAGCAGTTTTACCAGGTCCGTTCAGGCGGCTAACAGTTGGCATTGACTACACGGCCGTGGATTTGGCGTATGACTGTGCTTAGTAGCACAACAAAGAGGGCAGAACACCTATGTGAACCTACTGCTAGTAGCCAAGTCTCGTCTCCGCCACTTATGAGTCAGGGGAGGCAGTCCTTCAAGCATGAAGGCCCCCGCGTCACAGTTTCTCCTCTTGTAAAACAGGTTTAACAACAGTATAGGGTTCTGTCGGTTGGGATAAAAATTAAATGAATACAATGCCTCAGAGGCACACCCAACACATAATGTTCTGCACCATGTGCCTCTCTGAGGGCAGGAATGTTGCTGCATAGAACATGGACCCGGAAAGGGCTTGGGAACTGCACAGAGACCCGTAGGACAACAATAGAGGGGAGCTCCGTCGGCCTGGAAGAGCAGAGAGCTCTTCCTACGGCAGGGCTGGACCTCGCCTCTTCCCGTTCAAGTCCAGCCGGCTCCGAGAGCATGCTGGGAACTCTCCTACTGGCATGTGCTATGGACCAGACTGTGTCCCTTAAAAATATGCATCATAAACCTGAACCCCTTCTACTTTTGATAGGAGGGGCCCTCATGGCATAGTGGTTACACGTTGGGCTACTAACCACAAGGTCACCAGTTCAAAGCCACCAGCTGCCCCTCCGGAGAAAGACAGGACTTTCTACTCCGGTAAAGAGTTACTGTCTCAGAAATCCACAAGGGCAGGCCTACCTTGTCCAGTGGGTCAGCATCAACTCAGTGGCAGTGCGCTGAGATACTTCCTATAGAATCCCATTTAGGAATAGGGCTTTTTTAGTAGGATAATGAGCCCTTGCATGCGTCTTCCTTCAACTAGTCACTTCTGAGACAGAAGAAAAGCAAATGAGGCACAGGAAAGCGAGCACACGTTGGGAGGTGGCAGCAGCCTCATGGAACTCTCCAAGCAATGCTGGAGAAAGTGCGATAAGGAGAAACAGACGGGATGGAGAAAGCCTGGCCCTCGGGTTGGCTCCCTGAATTGAGACCACCAACCTCCTAGCCTGTGAGTAAAGGAATTCCGATTCATCACAGCCACTCACTTGCGTTGCTATCACAGAATGAAAGAAAAAGGACAGCCTCCCAACACCAGTCATCTGTACGACTTACCAGCTGTTTCTGTCCGATTTGACAGTTTTTCTCAGGAGACTTTTCATGGGTGTTACCCCCCTGGGAAGACTGGGTTTTTTCTGCTTGTCCACTCATGTTGATCACTAAAAAAGTAATCAAAAACAAGTAAAAGACATGAATAGCAAACACCCGCCAGTAACTGAGTGCTACAACTGCTTCCCGCTCTCTCCCCTGTCTCATAGGCTTTCAAAGCAGATTTCCTGAAGAAGCCGGGCTGTCTGCACTCGTCCTGGTCCCATACCTCCTACCCATTCTCTAGTCGTGCTCCCCACGCCCCCAGACTACTCTGCAGACACTCCCCGGGGGCAGCGAATGGTCCATACTTCCAACAGTCGCAGGTATCGTGGGCTTCTCTGGAGCAGCGACACCGTGACCACCCCTCCTGCTGAAGGAAGCCACAGAGCCTTGGTCCTCTCCTCTTGCCCTTTACACTCACTCTCTTGAAGGAAGTGGACAAACACAAATGAGTACGACGCATGCGTGCAGCGCAGCCCCAGGAGCCCTGTGAAAATCTCAATGCCTCCGTGGCTTCAGTTGGCACGTTCAGAGAGCTTCCCGAGTTTACCTCTAAAAACTCGGACCTTCTCTGTCAACTTTTCAGACCAATTTTTAATGCAGAGTGTATAAATAGAGCTCATTCATTTTCCATTTTTAAAGAAGCTTTGCACATTTCTGTCATTTATTTCAAAATACCTCAGTGTGTATACGTAGAGCCAGGTATCCAATGGTTTACTAAATGGTGTGTAAATAAATTTCTGTTCCTTGAAGCCACCCGTGTGTGGTATTTCTGTTTTAATAGCACTAAGAAATCAAGGCAAATGGAATCACAAATGCTGTATACATACCAGTTGCATTCATACAATTTGATAGCTTTTCTCAGGAGAACTTTTATGCCTGCATTTCCCCTTTGAGTAGATGTGGTAGCTTCATAATCTGGTGTCAATTCGGGATTTAAGAGGTTTATGAGTGAAGGGGTGCAGTCTAGCCTGTCAATCATTGTATAGCCAGTAAGGCTTCTGTGTGGGCCTGGCCTTCCCCCTCAGGATTCTGGGAATTGCGTATTTCCTCCTAGGAGGCAGGAGACACATTCTTTCTACACATTCCCTGAGAGACACTCTACTGACAAGACACATGGCGCTATGCTGATAGACCCTGTGCCCTGGGAACCAGAGAAGCCACGTGGAGACCCCTGCCAGCGCTGAGATGCTTACAGCACCACTTCCAGTGGATCCACAAGACTTCTGGCCCACTAGCCTGAAATCTTCCTGCATTCAGCATCATTTCATGAGTCTGAAGAGGACTGTATGGTTTGGTATTGGAGATCAGACTGATGGACTTGATCTGGGCTGGATTGGGACGTTTTCTCAATATTCAATTGTTCTTGTATATAAAGCTCTTTCTTATACACATATGATTTGTTTGTCCCTGGATTTGTTTCTCTAGTCTACCCAAACTAACAGTAGAATTTTTGTTTCCTGATTGTTCACTCATTTATGATAGATAATTAGCCACAAAGTAAGTAGTTCAAACACACCAGGTGCTCCGTGAGAGAAAGATGAAGCTACCTGATTCCATAAAGATTAACAGTCTCAGAAACCATAGGAGCAGGGCTACTCTATGAGTCAGAATCGGCTCAGTTGCAAAGGGTATTGTGTGTGTGCTGCGTGTGTGTTTAGGTCTGTGCTGTGTGTCTTATTTGCATGAACCCAGCCCAGAGCCAGCTGATTCTGAGTCATGTCACCCCATGTGTGTCAGAGAACAATTCTGCTCCCCAGGGTTTCCAAGGGCTGTGACCTTTCCAAAGTAGATTGCAGGCCTTTGTTCTGAGGAACCTCTTGGAGGACTTGAATCTCCAACCTTTTCGTTAGCAGCCAAGTGCTTAATCAAGTGTACCAGCCGGGGATGCCAGAACCAGAGGGTACTCGTGAGTGTGTAATCTAGGGCTGGTCCGTTGGTATGATCAGGAAAGTCCATACCACAGAGACGGCTTCCATTAGCCCTAAGCCCTCTGCCCTCTCTATCTCTGATCAACTACCATTGCTGACTATCGAGAGCCTTTTCTATCAGAACACCTAGAGCTATGCTTGGCCAAATTGAGTTGGTTCACTTGGTTCTACCAGCCCTAGCTTCCAACTGGACATTCAATTTCTATCAGTGCATCTTCATTCTCCCAATGTCTAAGTTCAACATCTTTGAATGTTTATTCTTCCTTTACCTGCGCCCCCCACCTTTCCAATTCCCGTTGTTAAAATAGGAATGAATATTGACTTTTCATCTAATATTTAATTTTATCTAAACCTCGTGATGGTTAAATAAATCCCATCTGTCTTTGGATTCAGAAAAAGGACTTCCTGAAAATTCCAAACCTTCCAGCCGACTCCCACGAGCAGCTCTGCGTGGCCGGGTGGGTTCTAACTGCTGCCCTCATGTCACCAGGGCTCACGGCTGCCCCCTTGTTCGCCTGCGGCAAGGCCACACGAAGACTTGCCAAATTCTCCTCCCTTCCTTCTTCAATTGAGCACCCTCAATGAATAACTACTGGTCTCATGGGTCAGTCAGAAACAAAGTTCTTGTGAATCAAACTTCAGTTGAGCTGCTCTCCTTTGTGTAGGGCCTCGAGGTTTCCCCCCCTCTTAGTCTGAACCAATATATCTCCCCCTTTTTTAATAAATCATTTTACTGGGGTCTCTTTCAGCTCTTATAAAAATCCATAGATCCATTGTATCAAGCACATTTGTACATATGTTGCCATGGTTTTCAAAGTATTTTCTTTCTGCTTGAGTCCTTAGTATCAGCTCCTCTCTTTCCCCTCACTCCCTCACCCTCATAAACCTTGATAAATTATAAATTATTATTTTCATATCTTACACTGTCCGCTGTCTCTCTTCATCCACCTTTCTGTTGTCTGGCCCCCACCCCCCTGCGGTCAGTTCCCCCTTCTCCCCGACTTTCATGGTCCCGCTACTTCAATTATTGTTCCTGAAGGGGTTATCTGTCCTGGATTCTCTGTGTTTTGGGTTCTTATCTGTACCAGTGTACATGCTCGGGTCTAGCCAGGTTTGTAAGGTAGAACTGGGGTCATGATAGTGAGAGGGGAGGAAGCATTAAAGAA